CCCCCCCCCCCCCCAACACACACACACTAAGACCCTCACGCGCTAACATCCGGGCCAACAAGATTGATTAATATAAGTTGAAATAGCTTATTTCATAATTGTTGTTAAATAATTAAAATTTATATTTTGCTATGTTCGTATTCGCACAAACTGGTTAATATATACCATTCTAAGTACGAAACATTGAGGGTCACACACGTATTTTAACTATGTAGACACCAGAAGTGGAATGCATGGGAGATCGATTTTGAAGAATTTAAAAGTGCTTTTGTCAAATATCGAACATCCTCAACTCAGAAACGTTTCATCTATTAGATCGTTTAACTTGTCCGCCACTCTTTACAGTAATCTTTGGAAAAAATACGACAAAGGCCAAGGTATAAGTGATTGAGGTTGATACTGTAGGAATGATTGCGTTCCTGGTTGACGTTATCTCTGTGTTTAGAGTAGAAGCAGTACTATGAAAACCGTGCAAAAAAAACTTCGATTTTGCTTTCAGATATATCAAAATATATTGATCACGTTAAAAGTATATACCCTTCTACAACTTGAAATCAAGGACACTACAGATTCTAATTTCCTCGATCTTTACTTACAACATAGGAAAAAGGGAAAGAAAGACGGCTTATTACCAAGCTGTACGAAAAGAATAACAATTTCGAGTGTCTTATCGTGAACTTTCCCTTTCTTGTTAATAACACCCTTACCTTACGGTGATTTAGTTTATAATTGCCTAGGTAATCTAGAAGTTGCTCCAAATATAATGATTTCGATGACAGCTGTCGACTGCTGACAAACCAATTTACTCACAAGGTTTTCATAACAACACAGGAATTCCAGAAATGGAGGGTTATGATGGATATAGGAAGGTTCAATAGTCGTCATTACGATTTCATTGTTGTATTTAAAAAAAAAAAAAAAAATTCTATATCTCTGTGTTTGATGAAGGTCTATCCTTTAGTTATGCTTATCAGTGTCCTTTGTCGTTTTTTAGCTCACCTGGTCCGAAGGACCATGGTGAGCTTATGCCATACCGCAGCGTCCGTCGTCCGTCCAGTAAAACGCTACTAGTCCTGAACGGCCGAGTAGATTTTGACTGAATTTGGTCTAATGCATCCTTAGGTCAAGGGACTCAATTTTGAATAAACCGTGGGTGTGGCCCCCCTGGGGGCAGAGGAGCGGGTCCCAAGAGGGGAAATAGAGGTAAAACCTTTAGAATCCTTCTTCTACCGTTGGAATTAAGGGATTTTATCCTAATTTATTCTGGAGCATCCTTGGACCAAGGGGACTCAATTTTAAATAAACCGTGGGTGTGGCCCCCCTGTGGGCAGAAGGGCGGGGTCAAATATGGGAAATAGAGGTAAAACTTTTAAAATCCTTCTGTTACCTTAGGGACTAAAGGATTGATCCGAAATTAGTCTGGAGCATCCTTGGGCCAAGGGGCCTCAATTTTGTATAAATGGTGGGCGTGGACTGCCTAGGGGCAGAGAGGCGGGGCCCAATAAGGGAAATAGAGGTAATCCTTTAAAATCCTTCTCCTTCCACAGGAATTAAGGGATTTCTTTCCAATTTGGTCTGGATTATCCCTGAGCAAAAGCGACTCAGTTTTGTATAAACAGTGAGTGTGTTGTTCCCGTAGGGCCAGAAGGGCAGGGCCCAATAGGGGAAACATAGCGAATTCATGAACATTCTTCTTCTTCTGTAGGAATGACAGGATTTTGTCCAAGTTTGGTATGAAGTATCTTTGACTGAAGGGGGACCGATTTTGTATAAACGCTGTGTCTGACCCCCCTGGAGAAAGAGAGACGGGGTCAAATAAGGGATATAGAAGAATAGCTTTAATATCATTTTTTCTTCAGTTAGGATGAAGGCATTTTGACTAAATTTGAACAGTTGCATCCTATGGGAGGGAAATCAATGGTTTTTTAAATGGTGTGTCTGACAGCCCTGGGGCCTGAGAGATGGGGCCAATAGAGATAATTTTGCAAATTTTAGAAAATTCTTCTGTATGAATTACAGGAGTTTGTCCATATTTGGTGTAAAGCATCCTTTGGTGAAGGGGACTTAATTTTGTATAAACGGGGGCAGAGGGGCGGGGCCCAATAGGGAAAACATAGCAAATTCGCCAAAAGCCTTCTTCTTCTGTAGGAATGACAGAATTTTGTCCAAATTTGGACTGAAACACCCTTCGGTGAAGGGAACCAATTTTGTATAAACGGTGGGTCTTACCCTACTCGGAGCAGGCGGGGCCCAATAAGGGATATATAGGAATAGATTTATATTAATTCTTCTTCCGTTGGGATGAAGGTATTTTCACCAAATTTGGACAGTAGTATCCTATTTGGAAGGGAAATCAATTTTGTATAATTGGTGGGTTTGAACCCCCCAGGGGCAGAGGGGCAGGACCAAATAGGGAAAATAGAAAAATAGCTTTAAAATAATTCTTCTTCTGTGAGAATGACAGGATTATGTCCATATTTGGTCTAAAGCATCATAGGGTGAAGGCAATCTGATTTTGTATCAACGGTGGATCTGACCCCCTGGGGGCAGAGGGGCGGGAATAGGGGACACATAGCAAATTCTCAAAATCCTCCTTTTCCTGTAGAAATGACAGGATTTTGTCCAATTTCATATAAATATATCCCCTGACTAACCATGTAATTTATGTACACTACTAGCAACATCCAGCTATTCCAACTTCAATTTTGCCAACATTTCCAGGTTAGCAATACTCTGGGCCTCTTGTTTGTCAATACCGTTGGTCACACTTTGAGGACGTGACAGCATTTCTTAAATGACGAGTGTCGTTGCTGAAGCAAAAGACGCTTTTTATTTCCGGAACATCTGGTCCGATTTGCCACGTATTTTTTCAAGGATCGCATTGTCACTCTCTGCTTCGTTTACAGTTTGCCCTAGTTATACCGATGTTGAGTTTAGATTACGATCTTATTGACACCTCTGTATTTCCATGTTGCTTTAGTTTAAATCTACCATTTATCATACTTCCAAGTATAGATTGTGTTAAGCAATTTCCGTCTTTCGTTTGTTGACATGAGTTTAATCCTACATTGTATATTCAAATGTTATATTGGTAATGAAATAAGGTGACCAAGCTAGAAAATTGTATATATGATAAACCGTGTTTAAATAACTATATCTAAATTATGATATACCAGTTCATGATGTATGCAAATAGTCAAAGATGAATTTATGAACTTGTACAGAAAACTATCATAGCAAAATATTTTTTATAACATAAATTTGATCGCCATAACTTGTGTAGAGATTGGGGTCCGATGACGGGAATACAGTTTGTGATGAAACAAGCATACAGTGTGTGGTATAATCGTATAAGTCTTAACTATGTTGGAAGCAAAGTGAACCTTGGCAATTTATCGAAATGATAATTAAAGTTAATTGAGAGGCTTTTCCTATTCTACATGAAGATATTAAAGACTAAAAGTATAGACTCTTCAATTTCGGTGGTGGTTGCTGTGGTGGAGGAGGTGGTGATATTAGTGGCACGGTTGTGTCGACTGTGGTGGAGTGAGGGAGGGGGAATAGCAGGAGGAGGGAAATTAGAGGGAGGATGATAGCAGGTACAGGGGTGAGGGCATTTGACGCCTGCTTGTTTATTATGTTAGGAGTATTGTTTTTGCATCCTGTGTCGTCGCAAGTCATCGTTACGTCTAAACTCAGTTAAGTATTTTCGTAAAACAAACGTTGTCTTCAAATCAATTAGTGATAATTGGGAAGCTTGCCAGGTTAATAGAAATAAAATTTACTTAAGCGATGGTATTACTTATATACTATTACTCGAAACAATCGTTTCTTTGTCCTTAATTAATGCAGGCCAGGCTGCTCGCAATTATTTCGTTCAATCAATTACACTGTTGCAAATACCTAATTTCCTAACGACAGGAAGCGTCCCTTACCTTAAAGTGGGAACATTTAGCAAATCACAGCAATAAACATTACGTTGCAGTTTATCACCAAGGTTGTATATATTTGTTTTATAATTACGACATTATCAAAATGAAACTTGTATATAAATCAAAGTGGAGCATAACGAAGGTCATTTATATTTCATTTTCTATGGCTTCAACATATGTATTATAATAAGAGAATAGATATTTGAAACATTGATATTTTTAATTGATTTCTATATATCAGATATATAAAAAATATTTCAAACAGACTGTTAAGTGTTAAAGGAATGCAATAATGATTTTATAAATTTAGTTGATTTGTATCTCGAATGTAATTTCTAAACAGTTAAATATCGCAGTATTTTATTCTTTACATACAGAGTGTAAATTTAACAGTAACGTATGACAGTATTCCATTCTTTGTATACCGAGTGTAAATTAAAACAGTTGAGTATGGCAGTATTTCTTAATTTTAAAGATAAAAGAGCATTGCCGTCATTTTCATTTTCAAAACAATCTGGGAAAGAGACTTCGATATATTATTTTCTAAAAACAATAATAACAGTTGTGAATGCAAACATGGCCTTTTATAAAACAAAAACTGTCATCAAGCTAGCAACTGTAACGGTATATATAGGTTTGACGAGCATACATAGGCCGTACTATTTAACACAGGGACACCATATGGCGGAATGGGATAACGAGACGCATACTGCACAATAGTATTGCCCTTTACATCGTACTGTTTGTATGTTGATAACCCCAGTCATATAAAAACATATTAAACAATATGTTAATATAAAAAAATATGGTGTGTCTTGAATGTTGACCATCATCAACTCGATATTTATCAACAGCGTTGGGAATTTATATTTACAGCTCTGGTCTACAGCTTTGAGTGTTAGTATCGATTGTCTGTATCCAATAGTATGCGTTTTACTAGACATAACCTCTTTGTTTTTGTTCCTTATTCTTGGTTTGCTAATTGTATTTTCTTCTAAAGTGTTGGACAGCTTTTGCTTGTAATTTGTACCGCTGTCAACTGTTTGATTAGGTATCTTTTTATATTTATATCGCGGTTTTAATATTGAAATTCTCGTTTCATATTTTAATTCCAATCATAGGCAGAGAGAGTTGTAATTGATTTGTATTAGTTCCAACATGTCGAGTATTCTTTGTTATCGGTATTGTTATTATCGTCTTGTCTAATTATGTATTGTGATTTGCATCACAGTCTATGATTTGAACACTAAATGTTTGTGAATTATTTCTATCGCTGTCAGAAGCATGAAGAATAAATGCTTGTTATTGTATAACTGTCCAAAGGTTCAATATTTGTATATGGACACTTGCATAAATATTGACCAGTCAAATGTGTTTTAATAGCGTTTAAAGGAATACACATTCACTGTTGATTATTTGTATTGATATCAAAGGCTTGAACAGCAATTGGTTTCAATTTGCGTTGGCACTGTTTGAGTATTTTATTTGGGGTTTCTTATCATTGCTAGAGGTTTTAACAGTTATCTTTGTTATTTGTCTTTTCGCTGCTGCAGGCTGGGACAGTTATTGTTTGTTATTTGCATCGCTGCCGCAGGCTTGAACGGTTACACTTGTTATTTTCATCAATGCCAAATAAAGTTTTTATTTTTTTAATCGTTTCCAAAGACGTGAACACTTCTTGTTTGTTATTTGTATCGTTGCAAGAAATGTGAACAGTTATTGTTTCTCGATCCACTGTCAGAATTATGTGTGTCCTACTACCACGTACAGATGTCTGTAAACTGTACTGGTTTCAACGGCTTGAAAAGCTACTATCCGCTATTATAAAAGGCTCTGTCGGGTTTTTTCGTCGTTGTTGAAGGGAAAGGGAAAGATCGTATTGATATGAGGAGGGGGAGAAGGAGGGAACGAGACCACTAAATAGAGATAGTATTCACTATTGTGGGCAATATCGTAAACGTTTGACCTCGTAACTTATATAGCACTGTACTTGTTTTCAAATTATTAACTCGCATATTTAGTGTTTATGTAATTCTACGATATACAGCGTAGATGACTTGGGTTTTTTCCAAGACTTATTGGAAATATGGTCCATCTACAAAACGAGACAGTCACTAATGGTCTATAGCAGTAGCTACCTAATTGACATCAGCCGATGCGAGCTGAGATGGAGAGGCTTAACATACCAATAAACAGCTCACATGTCATATGCATGCCTTACTGCAACTTGAAGTGTTATGTTCGGTTAATCGGTTTGTTTAATAGGATATTACTTATTTGCATTTATTGCCGTTGTAACTAGCCAAGAGGTCAGACTTAGCACTCCGTGCACTCTTAATCAAACAGACCTTGAGACAAAAATATGTTTTACTACTGTGGATGTTTCATACATTGAAATGGTTCAGTAGGTGTTTCGAAGATCTTAATTAGGTCTTTGAGATTCCATCCCACACACATGGATGCTATTCTAGAACCGTCGTTGCATAATAAATATTAATTTCTTTTAACATTATAAAACACACTTTTAAAAATACCACTGGCTTTATTGTGTTGACTGCATATCAACTTTTATTTATCAACAATATTGTGATATAATTGTTACCACATATATTTTGGTTGTAAGCCATGCCCCAGCATTCGTTGCAGAGTGTAAGAAAGATGTAAAGGAACTAGATTAATATGATATACTCATTGCAACTGACAATCAATCTAAAAGTGAACATTTCTTACGGTCCTCAAGGGTCAAAGCTTTTCATCTAAACTGTACCATCAAAAACATGTCTCCTTAAGCGTTATTCCATTTTCCCACCTATTTCTATAAGTAGAGTTGTGAAATTCATATATGGAGATAATGGTTTTTCTTCTTTTAAAAAAAAAAGTTTTTGTTAGTTTTTGGGTTTTAGAATTATTCATGTTATAAGTGTTATCTTGCTACATTGCAGCAATCCTTATGCTCAGAGATGGCAGATGAGTTGATGTTTGCTGTCCGCTGTCACGGATCTTCTAAAAAGCCTAAATTTAAACGGACTTGTGCTAAGTGCAAGAAAAGGCATATAACGCATTGCCCATTAACGGAGGTGCAGGTGGACTCGCCAAACGGCATGTTGACATTACATGAGATGAAGAAGTCACCGAATCAGCCGTCAAAAGAATTTCAGTTCGGCGAGGGAGGTTACCTTCATGTGGACTACAGTGATACCGATACGTAGCAATGGCTACAGTAGTGTATATGTACCTCAGTGTCACATAATTTCAATGACAGCTGGTCTGCCATATTGAATGTGTGATGTCGTTGGCTAGTTTATGATACGGGAACGCTGTTGGCTCATCCATACATCAACCATTTCAAGTGGCGATGATTTCACTTTTGATCATTCATCAAACCGCAGATGCCATTTACGATACTAAAACCAAATAGCTGCAATCCCAACAGTGAATTTTAAATTATCATATTTGAGAGAACTTAAATGTCCCGATCCTCCTGTTCGTCACTGTCTCCTTATCTGGAGTTATCTCTTACATCAGTCATTATAGGTGGTGACTCGCTTAAATAATCGGGAAGTGCCTTATGGTATAAGCCCTTCAGCTTAAAATAGACTGGCTAAAACACAAGATATGTTCCATTTGACTCTGGCTTGGTGAACACATAGTATTGTCTGAAAAAATAAAGGTTCAATTCCTTTATATGATAAAATAAACCATCTAGGGTGAATAGTTGTATATAAATGTCACTTGACACCAACTGAAATGAAAGTCTTATATTAATGTTGCCACATGTTTACAACAACCATACGACGCCTGTTGAAACGTGTGTTGCATAATCAAAAGATTTATATAAATAGTCACCGTATCACAGATTTTATAATTATCAAATATATGAGATTTCTTTGAGATACCAGATCTGCAAGTGAAAAGTGTTTTTTTAGTTTATTATGTAGTTACTGTAGGAATAACTGAGCAAGAGCATAACATTAAATATAAGTTTTGTTATACGTTTTGCTGTTGAAACAATTATATAATGAGAAACAGTATTTGTGCTGCAACAACAAAAAGATTAGAATTAGTTCATACCATGTACTTGTAACAAAACAGATCAAAATGTGATGAAACAACCGGTTTACGCCTCCCAATTCTAAACACAGTTATGCACCCTTGGCCGGATCCAGCTAGTAAGCAACAGTACATTGTGTACATACCATAACACATAATCTATATATATATATATATATATTTATGTCCAGCTTGTACATAAGATTAGGACTCCATAACGCCTTTATTCATCTCATTGTGCATAGCAGAGAGGGGATTAGGAACAGTAAAGCCGAAAGTGTAATGTATATTTTGGAATCATAATTATATTTCGATAGCTATCACGTGTGTATATAAATGATATATATATAAATCTATGTATATATATATGTAAAATGGTACGTATGTAAACTTTACGATGATAAAATCAGCTAATTGATATTTCCATTTATTTCTAGCATATGTATGAAAGAAATGTGCATGGCTGAGGGAAAGAGTGAAGGCACAAAGAAAAAGTTTTTTTTTTATATCATTTGTGTGATGTTGCTTTAGTGTCTGTGGTGTACTGTAAAAAACTACTTTAGAATGCCCTGATCAGTCTGACAGTATATTTGGCAAAGTAGAAAATGTATAAAGATGTTTTAATCCTGAGCGGCATTATTCAAAATAACTGTTTGGAAAAATAACGCTTTTTCCTATTGCAACCTCAACATTTGTGAATTGTTTTCGCCCTCATTGTGGATAAATCAATAAAAACTACCATCTTGTATCACGACAGAGCTAACAACTTAAATCATAACGTGAACGTCATTGCTTAATTTTCTACTTTCCTTGTACATACTAGATACATGTCTTACAGATGACATCAGTATGCATTTAATCATGAACACAAGATATCATTTATGATGAATGTCAAATCGGGGAGCAAATATAGATTTGTGATACAAAAAGAAAGATGAAATGAAAGGGAGACGTGTGTGTGTTAATGATTTGATAGGTGTGTACATTTATTAATACTTAATGCTTTGAATTCATCGAATTGTCGTTTTGACTAAATTTAAATGGTCTGGCATAAACTCGGTATTGTCATTCCAAAGTATGAGAATACGTGGGACCTCATAATGACGATCAGTTTGTTTAGGGTTTATTCAAGTTCAACAATTTATCTAATATATGCATTTGTTTAATGGTGTATCCTATTTTTACCGTATTCTGTATTCTTTTTGTCACTATGGTTGTTTTTATAATGTGGAGATTAAATCATTTATAAGACTGTCTTTTCCGTATCTGCCATCAATCCCTATACCACACTTACTTCCACGATAGATCATCATGATTTTTTTATACGAGTTTGTCTTATTTCATCTTGTAACGATGGTTAATAAGGTTTCTTTGTATTTTTTCGGTATCATAAGCTCGAGTTAATGTAAAAATACAAGGAGCTGCCATTTGTATTACGAGGACATAAATTATTGTGTCGCATGCTTTACCATATATGTTTTATACAGCAGCATTATAGATTAGGTTTGGTATATTGACGTACGTATATCAGCAAAACAACACGACTGACGTAATTTTGGAAGTGGTTTGTTAAAGTCACTTTTGATATCACAAACATTCTTCTTATATCTTCAATAAGATTAATCAGTTTGGCAATATGTGATATCAAAGTTTTACTTTCTACACACACAATGTAAGTATTAAACGTGTCGCAACGTTTTAAGACCGGCTAGGGGCTAAATCTACAACCTACCTATTACATATATGATGCAGTGGGTATACGCTCCCTATCGTTAGGCGAAACGTCCACGGGATAGTGACATGAAAATATACAATTTCGTCGCATCGTTGCACAAGTAAAAACAATCGCTCACTCAGTCATAGCTTTACAAAGTGGTCAGTCGGTCTTGAAACGTTGCGTCACGTTAAATTGTTTGTGAAGAAAGTAAAAGTCTGATATTCTTCTTATACTCTGCTGAAACACTTAAACCTAACCCATTCCATTTTACATCGACCGTTCTACTTGTGTCGTCTTAATATCAACCTCGTTTTATTAGAAAGAAATGGGTTTTTTTTCATTACAATTACGTAACCTACGGGGAATACAAATGCTGATTTTAATATTCTTAATTGAAATTTAAGTTCATTATCCGTTTAACGTTGCAAACAAAATGACAATTTTCTTATTCACGAACAACATTGTATATAAATACTTTGAAAATTGGAGAGTGTAGGTATATGAAGTTGACACAGGCAAGCTTAAGAGAGTATGATAAGCACGGATGAGCGACGTGTATTCCACAAACATTTTGAATAAAAAGTGTGTTTGGTTTCAAATTTGGTACCAGACGATTGCATTATTTATCTCAACGGTTTCAGTCACCTATTATTACTAAACGATCACAACGATGGTATGCATCAGCACCGTGTTGATGCGGTATTTTGTTTCCAATATAATTATCAGTCTCTTACATAGATACATTCACTTTAGGGGCCAACGATACAGGCTGTTTATGTGTATTCTCTTTTCGAAGAAATGGAAAAGTTAACTTAGTTACATAATCTCCATTACAATTTGACTTTATTAAGTTTGTATTCATACACTTTATGTTGGTTTAATCAGTATAATTGTATATGTATATATCAATGTTACTAATTTGTTTCGCAAATGCGCGAGTAATGTGTTGTTGATATTGTAAAAAAATGACTATTAAAACGAATGGTGTCATAGATTATTTTTATCGTTTCATTCATTAACTTATATTGTCTACAAATATTGTTTATTTATCATTTACACTGAAACTTCCACCGATGTAGGACTACGTCAGTCTCCCTTCTTCCTTGAACAATTCAAGTACAAAGTACAATATGAGTTTGTGTGCAATGCTTAAGTCTTAACGATTCTAAAACGGTTTCTATAATGAAATATATGCAATACATAAGTAAATAGAAAGCTCTAGATGTTTTACATATTAACATAAATTTTGTCTATTAGTACTGGAAACGTGTTAAGGGTGTGAAATAGACAAAAAGATCCGATTTGTTCATAAAGCTTATGCAGCTGTCAAAACACTTAGTATTTTATAAAAAGCTAAAGACCATGCTTGAATCGAAGATGTAGATATAAATACATATCGTGGCACTGTCTGCAGTTAGGTTGATTCATTAGTATCACGCCATCCCACAAGATGTGTACATCTGAATGTCTGCATAAAAGTATTTTTTATAAAAAGTGTAGTTCTCCATACTACCACTGCATTCAATAAGCGCAATGAGTTATCAAAGGTAAATAAAAATAACATTTTGTGGCATCCTAACCAGAATAAAATCAAAAGTGGAGTGAATTACTTTCATTTAAACTTTTAACATTGACTATTTTATACTCAGTAAAATATGTAATCAGGTGTTTGTTTCGATGAGGACATGTACACGAATTGCAAAAAGATTTATTAATACTTGCATTGTCGTGTTGGTGACATTTTTGTCAGTCTGTATCGATAAACGTGATATCTAAATTTTACTATTAAGTAATTCAGAAAATCTTGTTTTTGGCATTGTATTATATCTTAACAAGCGGTTGTTTTATGTGAACGTTAATACCAGCAAATCTTTCTTCTACAAACGAACTTTCAGTCGAACATGTCCTTAAAATCTTATAAATACTGAACAGTATGCCAGTTAATTACCTCAAAATATCATTTAGAGGAATTGTTTATGGTGTATGATTTTAAAAGTTTATAAACATATACATTGTTTTTTCAACTGATAATTCAAAGTTGCGTACTTGCAAACTGGTTGCAATAACTACAGATGATTTAACTGTGACGTAAATTTGTATATATTTTACAGTATGTATATAGTTACCTTTCAAAGCTTCTGTTTCAGAAATTAAAAAAAGATGATCATAAAAATAAATTCTTAAAACAGATAGTGCTTATCCAGTAAGTGGGTCAGATCAATCTATTTCTGTTCAGAACAATGCATTTCTTGACATTAATTTCATTCAAGGGACATAATTGTAAAACGGAGGAGATATATCAGAATGATCTCCCTTGTCATATGAATAGGAAAATGACATTCGGGTTACCTCTCTTACAGTGTACATAAAATAATCATGTTGATCTTTTTGTATTTGAATGTATTGAAAAGATTCAGAAAGCTGGGAAAATGTGGTTCTTCTCTTAATCTAGTTGTTCCTGTATTGTGATGTTATGTGTTTTCCGTTAATAACTAAGTTGATATTCGGTATGAATTGTGAATAGTCTAAATGTGTTTCCAACTTTTTCTGACTGTTCAACGAAGATTTTTATTTACCGTGTTCCTAAGATGAATAAAGTGAATGAAACTTACCACCGTATCATGTTTTATTTTTTGTAACTGTACAAACGTTTGGTAAGAATTCACGTATGTAACACTTCTAAGGAAAAAAAACAGTAGTTCCTGTCTTTATAAAGGTGTTATGTAGGTTTATGCATATTCAATATTTTGCTTTATAAACAATGCTGATAGGACAACAAGATAATAAATGTGTATGAGTTTTGCGGGTTAATTATGATACTCTTTTCATCATCAATTAACATAAACGCTATGGTCAATTTTCCCGACGTACATGGATATAACAGATATGAACATTTGTAAGGCGATGTCTCACCTATCCGGAAATGTTCTCCTCCTAGCGACATTACTAATATAGGAAGCTCCTGAAGATAATTACTTTCTCACTCTGTTCTTTTGTAAAATGATACCATGTTTATAAGTCATGCACTGAAAGCAGCATGACACTGCAAATTGTGATGTTATTGCATGCTGTAGCAACACGTAGGTTTTATAGATAAGTGATCTTTTTGTCGTACAGATAATTGTTCTAACTTTAGTCTTAGACTGTTTACGATCTCTGGAAGAGAACAAGCTACCAAAGCATATACTTTTCTTTTTATATGAACCTGTGTAGGTAACGTTCTTCCTTATGTGATATTACCCCTTCATTAGGGCTAGAGAGGTTTCCTTATATCGGAAATATTTGTCTTTAGCTTAAAATGTTA